CCTCCTGAAGGAGCCGCCGCGCCGGAGCCTGATGCTCCCGGCTGGCTCTCTCGCACGCGCGCCGCTGCGGCTGGCGCTGCTGCCGATCGGCTCGCGGCCGGCGCCGACGCCGCCGCTGCCACCGGCTCGGTGATCCTCCGAGCCGTCTTCGGCGGAGGGGTCCCTGCCGCGGCCGCTGCCGCCGGGCGGACTCTGGCCTCTTGGCCCTGCCTCCGCTCTCGATACTGGCCGGTCCTCTCCCGGCCTGCCTCCTCAGCGTCCAGCGCTTCGAAGATTCTCTTGCTGCACACCGCGTTGTGCGCATGGCCAGCCAGCACCTTGCCGTGCTTGGCGATCGAGACGCACCCTGGGCATCCCGGCGTTGCGCCCAGCCGCTCGACGTCCGCCTTGAGAACGTACATCCTCCTCGGCGCCTGCGGCTGCGGCGGCACCACCACAATCGGTGGCGGACCGGCCTCTCCCGGTCCGACGATGGCTCGCGGCGCACTGGCCGCACGCGGAGCCACGTCCCACGGCAGGCCCTTCAGGCTGTCCCAGCCCGCCGTGATCCACTTCTCGCTCTGCGGCAGGCTGCGAAAGCCGACCGCCTTCTTCACACCGTCGCTCGTGATGACCATCATCGAGCCGTCGCGCGGGTGATGGCCGATGTAGCGAGCCTCCACCATCTGCTCCTCCAGCGCGTTCTTCCTCGCGCGCTCCCCGGCGAACCGCACCATCAGGCGCTCACCGAAGAGCGGGACCGGCTTCCTCCACTGCCGTCCCGTGAGCCGCTGAAGAGCGGTCTTGCCGTCCTGGCCGCGCCTGTATCGGTTGATCACCGCCGTGCGTGCTCCGGCAGGTGCGCTAGCACTGGGTGCTTGTCCTCCACCTTGACACCCAGCTTGGACTCCAGGTCCATCTTGAGCGCTCGCACCTGCTTCTTGATCTCGCGCACCGTGACCTCGATCTCCCCATTGGCCTGATGATCGGCCGGTGCCGACTCCTGTGGAATGGCCTCGAGGCCAGGAACCTCCTCCACCGCACGCCTCTTGACCAGCAGGATCGCTGGCTCGCCGTCGGACTTGTTGACGATCTTCCTGTAGCCCAGGATCCGTAAGAAGCGTGCGAAGAACTTGATGGCGTAGGCGTCGTCGCCCTTCTTCTCCACGAATGTCGCTGCCATCATCTTCGAGCGTCGATCCCTAAGGACCAGCATCGGCATGGTGTCCGCGTCGTCCTGGCCCATGAAGGCGTAGTCGGACGAGACCACCGGCACCGCCGTCTCGTCGTCCTCCGGTGCGCGGAGATGCGGCTGGCCTTGGCCCTTTGCCGCAATACACACGCGACACCAACTGCGGTAGGTCGCGTGTCCCATCGCCTCGTGCTCGACGATCTCCCTCTGAGAGGGCTCGTGAGGTGCCTTCAGCACCCTCGGGCGAGCCTCCTCCTCGCCCTCGTCGGCCTGCTGTCCATCAGGAGCAGCTGGCAAAACGTCGGCCGCGGCAGCTGCCGCTGGCTGAAAACCCGGCGGTCTCATGTCGGAAGGTCCCGACCCCGCCGCTGCCACCCCTGCAGCCAATGCCGCAGGGGACCGCGGTATTGAGTCTTCCAGTGGACTTACGCCAAGGGCTGCCTCCTGGGGACTGTCCTCTCGAAGATCTCCAGCAGCTCCTCCTTCGACTTGCTGCTGAGGAGCTCCACCAGCTCGGACTTCGACTTCGCCGAAAGTCCCTCCTCGAGAGGAGCAACCGAGCCATGTTGGCCCTTCTTGAGGTAGAAGTTGTAGACTCCCTGCTCACGATAGACCGGCAGCATCTGGTGCTTCGCCGTCTTCGCCTCCTTCTCCAGCATGTCTACCACGCGCTTGCCGATTGGGCTCTTCTCGTGGAATATCCAGCCGCCATTGCGGCCTAGGAATGAACACTGTCCAGCTCCTGCTGCCTGCCCCACCGAGATCAACGGCTTGTGCACGTTCGTCACGCGTCCCTTGAGCGCTCTGAGCACTCCGTACTCGTCCTCCGCCTTGAGCTGCAAGCTGCCCTCGTCCGGGACGAGCTCACCACTGGCCGTGCGATACGTGCTGCCGTTGCCCTTGCCCTTTCCCGTCGGCGGCGCGAAGCTCCGAGGGAATGCTGAGACAGCTGCACCGCTGTCCCAGTTGAACTTCATCCAGTCGTCCTGCACGAAGGGGGAGAGGTCGACCGCCGCTACGCCGCGGCCGTTGCCGCTGGCGAGCTCCAGGCAGTCCAAGCTGCCCATGTCCAGAGCGGCGACCTCCGCCTCAGGCTCCTCCTCCAGGCTGCCTGCCGCCTTGCCGCCGGCCTTGCCGCCGCGGCTGCCACCTTTACCACCAGCGCTTGCCCCCGTTGCGGATCCAGTTCCAGCCCTCGTACTCGATCCCTGCTCTTTCCTCCAGCATTCGGATGCCTTGTGGCCCCATCTCTCGCAGTTCCGACAGTAGCCGTCGAAGCGCACGCCGGTGCTTCGGGGTGCCATGTGCCCTGAACCACGGCCCGAACCCGTCGGGGATGTGCGGGAGCCTGAGTATGATCCGCTCGTCGATTTGCTCTTCCCCTTCGGCTCCTGGGTCTTGCCTTTCCCTTTGCTCTTGCCGTCCTTGCCCTTGCCTTTGCCTTTTCCTTTCGGGGCTCCGAACGATCCGACGTCCATGTCGTCCGGATGATGCGCCCGTGCGCGGATCGATGGCTCCTTGATCTTCACGCCTGTCCGAGCCTCTACGATCGTCATTACCTCGTTCAGGCTGTCCTGGAACGTCACGAGCCGATGCTTGTTGAGTACGAGGTGGTTCTCGATGTCCTGAGGCACGAGCATCTCGAGGGCCGCCATCTTGATATCCTCCGGCAACTCGGCCAGCCCGTCTTCTCCTTGGCGGCGTTCGTGCTTGCCTATCTGCTGGATCCACTTCTCTAAGGCGGACCCCAGCTCCTCCGCGTTGCACTTCGGAGGCGAGATGATCGACCTCAGGATCAGCCTCTTCCTCGGACCTGTCGTCGGGTCCCACCTGCGGTGAAGCTTCCGCCAGGCCTCGAGACCGTTCCCGTCGGGTGCGCCCGTCACGAGGTCGTTGCTCTCGCTGCCGTCCGCCGTCGTGCTGATCAGCGCCGCGTACAGCTGGTTGATCTTGGTCTCCAGCTCTGGTACTCCTCCGTGCGCCTCCTGTGCCCCTTCGATCGTCACGGGGCGTTCGGCTTCTGCCGCCCACCGGAGAACAGGACGGAAGCTCTCTCCGTACACGCCTATCACGTAGTTCTCCATCTTGCGGTTCCAAGCTCCGAACTTCTCCTGATCGTCGCCTAGCGTCGTGGGCCTGCCGATCCCCTTCGTGTCGACGAGACCGGGTGCGGCTCCTCCCGCGTTCGTAGCGCCTCGGATCTGCTCGCCCATGCGCTCGATCGCCTGCGGGATCGCCGCGAGGCCTCCTGCTACTTGCTGCTGAAGCCGTTGATTCTCGTTCTCCAGCCTCCTCATCTCGTCGACGGTCTGACTCATTCGGGCTGCGAACTCCTGCCTCAGTAAGTCGAACTGCTGCCGAACTTGCTCGTCCATGTTTGACTGCGTGTCTCCTGGCGAGCTCCTCCTTGCTCTCAGCTATCTCCTGCCTCGTGCGCTCGAGGTCTATGATCTGATCCAAGACCTCCTTCTTTGCCTCCTCGATGGCGCCCGACGAATTCTCCGACGGGTGGTCCTCGATATACGCGAGGTCGTGCAGCTTGTTGCCTGTGTCCTTCAGGCCGTGTTTGAACTGAAGCTGACGGCGTCTATTCTCAACCGCTGCGTCGCTCCTCTGGCCGCGCCTGCGGCCGCTCTTCCCAGCTCCTGCCGGTCGACTCCTCCCGGACTCTGCCGGTGGTCTCCTCTCAGCTTCTGCCGGTGGCCCGGCCGCTGCCGAGCTTGGTGCGGCTGATGCCGCTCTCTTCCAGCCTCGGGTCTCAGCCCACGCGCCTTGCCAACTCGCCGTGGCGCCCGCGCGCGCCAAGGCCCTGGTGGGTTGGCAACAGTGAGTGGCCAGCTCACGCTACCATGATGAGATAATGTGTTGATTAGCAACAAGATCTCTTTTCATCTTGAGCCAAAATAGGTACACGGAGGAGGGTGTCAGAATCAAAGGGCCCAGGGACACACAGAAATAGGCACAAATCTCAGGATCTCTCTTGTTGCATACCTTCTGGATGTCCGTCCTTCCCTCCACTTCCTATCTTTCCTATCATTTCCTGGGAGTCGACGATTCTTTGTGTCTGTGTGCTTTCCCCCTCCTGACCTTAGCGCGCCCGAAGGGGGTACGGACCAAACAGGGGACGATGCGATGCCCAATGACAAAACAATGTCGAGAAGAAACGGGCCTTACCCGACATGGTACCTCGACCTTCCGCGGTGGCTTACGCGGGCCGCCAGCGCGGCACGCCAAACTGGAAGCGAGGGCGTGTACGCGCGACCTTCCGCGAACAGCTCACGCGCGAATGTCGACGACACCGTCTGTGCCTGCATCGCTCAGCGTTGTCCACAACCGACAGCAGACTTCCCTGATCAAGGCAACTCGCGTCGTGGCCTAACGTCTGTGGTTTCTGATATTGGCAGGCGGGCCCGCCTACGGCAGCTGACAGACCGACCTACATCGAGCGTGCATTGTAACCTCGACTGCACCTTCTGCTACTGTAACAGCCGGTCTGGGGACAACTGAAACCGTCAAGGGGGGAGACACTAGGGCTCCCAACTTCGCGCTTCGCGCTCCGCGAAGCGCGAAGCGCGAATAACTTCGCGCTCTCGCGCCGCCCCCCCAAAGGGAGAAAAGGAGGACGAGGAGGAGGGGGAGGAGAAACGAGGACCGCGAAGCGCGAAGCGCGAATAACTTCGCGCCCTCGGGGGAGCCCTTGGAGACAGGACGCCCGAGAGCAGAGAGGGACGCACGACGAGCGGGGACGAGAGGCCGATGAGCAGGAGAGGGAGGGACGAGGAAAAGGGCAGCGGCCGCTGGTGGGCAGGCGATTGTTTGTCTCAAGTGGGCGGCGACACCGACAGCGAGCCCTGTTCTCAAAATGGGCAGGAACTGCCGCCGGTCTTCTACCCAAGCTTCCCACACCCCTGTCGATCGCACTGGAATCTTTGATCCCGAGCCGTTTCTTGACCGTCCCGAGGCCCGGGCCAGGCCTCTGGCGAGGCACAGCCCGCCACGCACCTCACCAGCACTGCGACGCGGGAGGCCTTGGGGCCCCCGACAGCCTTCTGCGGCCCGTCCTGCGGCCCGGCGCCGTCGCTGTCGTCCGCGATGTCGACGACGGCCCCGCAATGCCGCGGCGCGTCTGCCCGCTGGCCGCCCTGGGCGGGCCATGGCCCCTTCGCCCCAGCGGCGCCAGCGCCGACGCCGCCCGACGGCGACTGGCCCCACGGCAAGCAGCGGCCTGCGTCGTCCAAGCCCGCGGCGCCGCCCTGGGTCGGCCATGCCCCCTCCGCCTCCGGGACGCCTCCGGCTCTGGAGGCGTCCCGCGGGCAGCGGTCCGCGACGAGGCCGTCCGGCACTGGCTGGGCACCTGCGGGGCTGACCCCGCCGCTTGGCGGGCAACGGCCTACGTTGTCCGCCGCCCGCGGGCCGCCCTGGGTCGGCCATTGCCCCGGGGGGCTGCCGACGCCGCCAGCGGCGCCGTGCGACAGCGTCTGGGCAACCGCGATGCCGAGCCCGTCCTCGTCCTGCGGGCGGTGGCCTGCGTCCTCCAGGCCTGCGGTGGCGCCGCCGCGGGGCTCTGCAGCGCCGGGGCCGGGGCCCCGAGGAGGCATGCCGTCGTCTGGCCGGGTGCTGCCAGAACTGCCCCTGGCCCGAGGTGCCCCCAGGATTTCCACGGCCTCACGAGCACCCCCTCACAAGGCACACAATGTGGCGAAAAGGTGGGGGCACCTTGGGCCAGAGGTACCTTTGGCAACCCCGAGCTGGGGCGCACGCTCCAGCGGGGCGCTCGCTGGGCCACTCCTCATGCTCGGCGCCGTCGCTGTCGCCAGCGATGTCGACGACGGCCTCGCAGTGCTGGCTGCGCATGGCGGCTGCGATGCGCCCCTCTGGAAGGCCGCTGGCGCCCGCGCGGCCGGAACCCTTGGCCGCGAAGAAGCTCGCGAGCTGGCGCTGGCCGCGGCCGAGGCTCGCCTTCTGGCCGCGGAAGGCGCTCACGCGCACGCCCAGCAGGCGGAGGCTGCAGGGCATCTGCTCCTCGAGCGCCGCCGACAGCACCGAATACATCTCGCCGGCCACCCGCGACACCTCCGCCTCATAGGCCGCGTCCTCGGCCAGCGCCGGCGTCTCTGCAAGGGGCTCCCCCGCGGGCGGCGCCGCGCCGGCCCCGGCGGAGGCGCCTGGCACCTCGTCCCTGCGGAAGGCGGTCCCCGGGCCCAGGTCCTCCTCTGGGCGGCCCCGGTTGCCAGGTGGGCAGCGGCTGGCGAAGCCCACGTCGAAGCCCAGGAACTGCCTGCAAGTGACCTGCCGGTTGCGCACCACGAAGGTGGACGTCTTCGTTTTCAGGGCCACGACCTTGCATGCGAGCGGAGGCACCGAGGACGCCATCTGCTCGGCCACGCCGCGGCAGCAGTCGCCGAGCCGGGCCAGGAGCTGGTCGCGCTCCGCCTCCGCAGCAAACGTGCGCTCGGAGGACAGCGACTTCCGTTCCACGCAGCCGACCTCCTCGCCCTCCTCCTCGCCCACCTCCCGCCCAGACAGACCCAAGGAGATGCGCGCGAGGAACAAGCAGGTCTTCGGCCTGGTGGCGAACGCCCTGCGCACCGAGTGCATCGCGGCCGCGAGCTCGCTGCACGTCCGCACGCCCAACATCAC